ATGTAAGCAATTTAAAATCACACCAGTGTCTACACTCATCTTCACATCTCACACACACACACACACACACACACACACACACACACACACACACACACACACACACACACACACACACACACACACACACACACACACACACACACACACACACACACACACCGTGCCTCAAACAATAACCAAGCATGCTGAATTTCACTTATAAATTAGGACAGTTAATACATACTCCTTCCACTACATGAGTGCACTATTAAACTATAATTCAAAAGACAGGAACTATGAACATTATTGAACTAATCAAGAACAACGTTAATGAAGGTCATTTTTTAACGGTTATCTCCATCTCTTACCGTAGCTACTGCAGCTATTCCCATGATACGGTTTGAAGCATGATGAAGCCATTTACAATCACATTTGACTGGTTATGAAATAGAAGATTGACATTCAAAATAAAAAATTTTTTTCTTGTTTTGGTCAAAAATAACACGTGTCTGACCACAACTCAAGACATATAATTACAACAATGTCACACAAATATTGAATCAGATACAAATATAAATTTGGGATATTTTCGACGGAACTGATATATTCTGTAACCTCACTAGATGGCGGAGGCATACTGTGAAATTCTAGTTATTTAATCAAACAAATAATTCCAAAGTCAAGAACTCTTCAAGTTAATCAGTTTCAATTCGGAGAGGACACAACTTAACTCTCTAACTTAAAAGAGTTTAACCTCCTTATTTGATTTTTTAGGGAATAAAAAAACACGAATTGAGGGACAAGTTTCTTAAACTTTCGAACACCAAAGATACATTTTTGCTGAAGGTTGAACTGAAATATCCTCTATTCCACTGCTGCCCCTGAGGCTGCCTCCAGATTTTCCTCCTGTTGAGTTTATTACCCACCATCTTTTTCACTTAGTGGTCCCCGGCACAGGTGGTCAGTCGCCCCTGAGTTTCCCTCTGTTTGGCTGGGCTGATGTTGGGCACAGCTGTGGAGGGACACCAGAGTGTGATGTTCTGCGGGTAACCACAGTGAGGATGTTTGGTTGGATGGATTTTAACAAAGTCAGTTTTCTTTCGACACTGACCACAGTAGCTAACTTGAAGTTGGTGTAACATCTACTTTCAAAGTGAATCAGTGGTATATGAAAGGGTTAGTTTGAAACAATACTGCCAAGAGTCTGCAAGATGTACAGGGATTACAGGAGGGTTGTTCTTCGAAAAATATGGAACAAACGTGAAGTTGGACGCAAGGATAAACAGATAAAAATTGGAGGTTAAAGATGAGATTACAGTGACTTTGGACCATCACAATCTAGTCAATTCAACATTTATGGAGATCACGACAATGGGAATTACTGGCAAAACATGATTCCTTCGACGGAGGCATTAAAAAACATGTGTCATGACTTCAAGGTGACTTTTTACCTCATCATTGTATTACTGGTGTTTGTGCCCAATTTAAAGAGGACATGTTGCGCTCATTTTAGGTTCGTAATTTAATTCTTCTACTTTGACGTGTTTACATCTAACCCTCTTTAATTGTTTCAAGCTCATCTTTGCGCTGCATCTGGCTGCAGATATATGCCCTTTATCTAAATGTCAATGTGCTACCAACCAAGAATCACCTTGCAGCTTTTCTACACTATAATGCACTTAAATGTATAATTTCATATACAGTATGTCAACTTCTATGCATTCCACACCACAATAGGGCCCTTGCTCAGGAGCACTTGGGCAGTATTCATTTAGAAATTGAAAAGCTTCCCAGAAAGACACATTCCCCCCCGCCTGCCATCGCATCGCCTGCAGATAACACACAGTTTTGAGGAAAAGCAAGTGATCCACGGTTTTGACCTTGAGGAGGGTGGAAGCAATTTAACCCCATCAGATGGTGTGAGCCGAGAGGCAGTTGTTCTAAATTTGGAGAGCAGAGGGCCGTCTAGTCATCTCTACGACCTCGTCAGACGAGCCCAGGGACACGCTCTAATTCTATCAGTTTCTCAGAGAGAGAGGCCACCAGACGCTGTGCGCTCACGCCTGTCCCTGCAGGGTCACCAGGAAACAACAGGAGGATTAAACAGGTGTTGGAACTCAATCATTAACTTCTACAACATCCAACCTGTTCATAAAGAAACGATAATAAGCTGAATGAATAAAAGTCAACTTTCAGTTTGTGTGTACAGACAGAGAGATCGAATTACCGTTTCCAACAATCCTGAATGCAAAAATTACAAATATATAAAAATATGTGTACAAAAATATATATACCTGTACATACACAATCAACAGACACATTTATACAGTACATATGCACACATTAAGACATAAATAAAAGCACAACAATCAATATATCCAAAATAACAGTCACTTCAACGTGTTTGAAATGTGTTCTAGTTTATTTTTTCCGAATGTTATTTTAGTTTTAGTTCAGGCTCTGGTTTCAGACCCCATTTACACGGGAGCGCAAACGGACCGAATTCGGTTTCAAAAAAGTCTTCCGTTCACACGAGACCACTGGAAACGCTGTAGTACATATGCCGGGCCTGTAAGTGGCGCTGTACTTCTGCCACAAAATACACCAAAAGCAGCGAAGAAGACCCCCGAGCATGGTTGCTATGGTTCTCTGGTTGCCCTTATGTTTATTCTCCGCGGTGGATTTAGCAAACATGTAGTTCATGTAGTTCTCCATGTCCACTTGTTGCTGATGGTTGTGGTAGAGGAGCTGTAGATTTAGGAGCACTAACATCTGTAGCATGGTCTGTAGCAGACAGTAGCTACTGACCATGCTACAGCAGTGAGCAGCAGAGGTGGGGAGAGGCGGGGCTATGGCTTCATCGTTATCAGGAAATGATCGTATAGGGCGTACACACGGAGCCGTTTGGCCCCCCAGAGCGTTCCGTTTGCAGATCTATCCACCTTGGGACCCGTTATCGTTTGCGGGGTCCATTTCCGCGGTTCCGTTACGGCCTCGTGTGAACGAACGGGCTATACGAAAGAGAAAAGTAGCAGATACAACCGTTTCGTTCTCGTGTAAACAGCGCCTCAGAGAGAAGGTGAAAAACATAAAAGGGCCCCTTTAATCTATCAGCAACAGAAACTAAACAATGTGACATTTCTGCAAATGGACTAAAAACAGGAATTAAAGGCCATATTTTCTTTCAAAATAGGGTCAGCGAGAGGCAAAATGAAGGTATTGTCTTTGGTTTCAATAAATGCTGTTGAATAATCTGTGCATGATGTTGACATTTAGCAGCTCCTCTTACAAAAGGTCCTCGTCGTCACACTCGGTAAACTGATCAGAACAACAGATAAGCAATTGACCAATCGGTGGTACTCTCCAGTGAAAAACACTCATTATGTCGAGGAGAAATTACAAAAGGAGCCGGCCTCTCGGTACTCAGATAAATGTTAGAGGTGACACATGAAGGGCAGAGAGAGGAAAGTGCTTGGTTGGATCCGGGTGAGGCTGAAAATAAACATTCATTCAGTCATTGTCAGCTCTCATTGACTTCCCGTTTCTTATACTCGACTGACTGCGTTTTTCGGGCAGCAATTTTCATCACATTATGCCTAATAGTTTGGAAAATATTATGTTTGACACTGGAGGATACCAGATTGGAGGTAAAAGGCTAATTGCCCTCCTCTGATTGTGCCGCATTACCGCCTCAGCTGAAGGACATTCAGACAGGCTCTGGTATCGGCTTTTGAATGCAAAGTGAGGCAGAATTTGAAATATATAAACTCATGAGTACATAGATTTATTTCAACAGTCAGGCAACGTGATATTAGAATTAGTTATAATATACTTGCACCTTGATGCTGGATGACATGATTTCTGGGAATACATTTACATGTAGTTGAATGCGTCACAGATACATTAAAGAAACGAAAGATATATGATATCTCATATGGCGCTGAGGCTGTTTTTGAAGTCTCGCCCGATGGATCTAGCACACCTCAGTTCAAGGGGAAATGATTTCAAACAGCGATGTGTGTCAAGATTGTTTGAAACTATATATGCTTGCCAGCTAATTTCAGGTCTAGAGAGGAGAGAAGGGGGAAGGTAGCAGCAGGTACAGCAGATCTGGGGATTTAAAGAGAAAGCAGGATCCCACCTGTGGGAGTTTTGCATTGTAAACATAGACAGTGACTCACATAAGGTTTGCTAAGTAATGACGAGCAAGGTTACAATTAGCAGTGGTGGAAAGTAACTTAGTACATTTGCTCAAGTGGTGACTCAGAGGTGGAAGAGGTACTCCTATTCTCCTTAAAAGTAGTAGCAATACAGTCGAATTACACAGAGATTATCAGCTTATTATTTATCAAAGACGTTTGAACAGAACACAATTTAACTAACTTCAAGTATATACACTGAACAAAAATATAAATGCAACACTTTTGTTTTTGCTCCCATTTTTCAGGAGATGAACTCAAAGATCTAAAACATTTTCTATATACACAAAATGGGGGGGTCTGGGGGGGTCCGAAAACCAGTCAGTATCTGGTGTGACCACCATTTGCCTCACGCAGTGCAACACATCTCCTTCGCATAGAGTTGATCAGGTCGTTGATTGTGGAATGTTGGTCCACTCCTCTTCAATGGCTGTGCGAAGTTGCTGGATATTGGCAGGAACTGGAACACGCTGTCGTATACGCCGATCCAGAGCATCCCAAACATGCTCAATGGGTGACATGTTAGGGTTAGGGTTTAACCCTAGGGTTTTCGGACCCCCCCAGACCCCCCAATAAAGCAAAACTGCACGTTTCAGAGTGGCCTTTTATTGTGGCCAGCCTAAGGCACACCTGTGCAATAATCATGCTGTCTAATCAGCATCTTGATATGCCACACCTGTGAGGTGGGATGGATTATCTCGGCAAAGGAGAAGTGCTCACTATCACAGATTTTTTCAGATTTGTGAACAATATTTGAGAGAAATGGTTATTTTGTGTATAAGAAAATGTTTTAGATCTTTGAGTTCATCTCATGAAAAATGGGAGCAAAAACAAAAGTGTTGCATTTATATTTTTGTTCAGTGTAGTTTTAACATATACTAGGAATACAAAAGGAATTGAGTGTTTGGGTCTTGAGATTAAACTTGGACAATAGTAAAATAAGAATCAGATTTTGTGTTTGCAAAGGCTGCTGTCAAAATGGATCATCAAGCCAGTGCAAATATTCTACAAATATGGGAATTTCCAGACGGTTTACAAATGTAAATCCAGCTTGTTGTCTCAGTTACTACCCTGCACATTTCTCTCTGCAAATATGCCAAATGATATTATGTTTGGAGTGAAACTTTTACAAATGAATGGAACTGTTTAAAACAGATGTGTCACACTATTTCAATCATGAGCTGAGAGGTAGTGCTAGCTATTCCATATATTCAGTCATTAAAAAATACTAGATAAAACATTAAATCAAATAATAAACTACAAAAAAATGCTTAACAGCTGACTACATTTAAAGGTGGGGTAGGTAAGTTTGAGAAACCGGCTCGAGATGAATATCTTAAGCGCTTTGACAAAAAATCCATAAAAAAATGTAATCTGTGGAAGCCGTAGTACTGTAAAAAGCACGACCAATCATCTGAGCCGGCCCGGCTAAAATAACTGGATGGCCTACCTGCCTGTCAGCCTTCCATCTGTGCACAAACTTATCTCGTGCCCTCATTGGTCATGTGCGCATTTGTGTGTGTTGGAGGAGGGGCTCTGTAAGGAAGTGGCAGATTTGTTCCGGTTGTGTATTTTCAAATTCTAGCGCACTCGAGCTGGTTTCTCCAAAATTACCTACCCCACCTTTAAGTGCTAGTTTTTTACCATAGAAGGTATTTGTTTTCTAATATCTCCGTTTTTCTGTGCTTTAAGACTCCATTTGTCCGCTTTCACTGTAGGTTATCAATCAAACTAGTTTGAAATAAAGCCGACAGCGACTCTCTTCTATCAAACTCCTGAGTTTAAACCTCTCCAGACCTCTGTTGATTGATATGAAGAAGAGGGTATGCCCTCCAGGAGGTCTACAAGCAGAGAGGTTTAACAGAATGATGAGGGAGACATGAACCGCTCTGAGGACAGAGGATAAACTCTCAATGACATGTGGAAATGTACGGCGAAGGAAAGATTCAGTCAGGATAAAAAATGTGTAAAGAGACAGAAATAACTAAAAGAAGGTTCAACAACATGTCAATGCTAACTGACAAACCTCAAGGAGGGAAAATGGCCTGCTCAAAAGGAACAATAAGGCAACAAAGCAGTAGAGATGGGACAGTATGAGCTTTGAGCTTCTGTATTTTGTGCCGAATAGGCTTTGATTAAATAGGAGAACATATAGTACAAGAATGTGGCTTATCTTCCCGACCACTGACAAGATCGCTCAACCTTAAGCATGAGTTCATATTGCTGATACTGATTTGGTTGGAGTGTAGACCATGAAACCAGAAGCAAGTTAATGTTCTGTTAAACAAAACATTGCTGTACTTCTAATTGAGGGTTCAGAAGGTAACATTTGAGAAACCAGCATGAGTACGCTAGATTTTTAAATGGTCTACAAAAACAGCAGCACTAGCTCGACAAGTTATCAAATCTAGCAAGAAAGTCACCAAGTTGGCAGCAGCCCGTCCCTTAGGTTTAACTCTAAAGCTCCTTCCCAACATTATAATTATAAAATTAAACATATGATGGTAAAAGCTCAGTGAGGAACATGGCTATTTTCAGCACTCACCTCTGTAGTTTGTGGAAGACTCTGGTGACGCATGTGACCAAATGCAATAATTGGACGGACTTATAACAGTCCTGCGACATCCACACATGACAGATATTTTTTTTGTCAGAGCATTTGTTTAAACAACACCCAAACCTGGTGTCGTTATCTAATTAATGTAATGCACAGGGGTTATGGATAAAGGGGGGACTGCTTTAATGGAGATGGAATTTGAAGCTGTAACTCCATAATGATCAAAGTTCATTTTACCATTAAAGTGTCCTCAATGGTTCTTTGGGGGTTCATTTGTTAGCAATGACATGAAAGTAAAACAAATGTTGAATGGGAGTTGAGTGTTTGAGTCCACACAAACTTGGTGTGTGACAAAGATGTGTTTTATTTGTATAGTGTGTGTGTGTGTGTGTGTGTGTGTGTGTGTGTGTGTGTGTGTGTGTGTGTGTGTGTGTGTGTGTGTGTGTGTGTGTGTGTGTGGTCCTGGGGGTGTGCCTATATGAGCTTCTACCTGAGAGTTGCTCATGCTCCCCAGGCTGTCCTCAGGGTGTCCCTCAGGGCTCCAGCTGCCGGCTTTTTGGGACATCTCCTGAGCACGAGCCGTCACCCACGATTGGCTCGCCGGGATCCCCCCCTGTACCGTTCTATGACACACACAAACGTACCATCACACACGCATCTTTCTGAAAGGAATATCTGACCCATAAAATAATGATTTGTATATCAATGGCTCACCCCGTGTTACCTTAAAAACGTTTTCTTGCGTGCCTCCATGGTGAACGATAAATACAAAAACTATATTGGAACATCAGTTAAAACATTCTGGCATATCTCATGAAGTTTAGATTTACTTGAAGTTATCTAAAAATACGTTTTTGGAATATTTGATCCCCATGGAGGGTGTGTTAAAAGTTGTATCCAATACTTCAAGGTAAGAGGGGCTGAATAATTTGAGATACAATCGTCATTTTTGCAGGTGAAATATTCCTAGATTTCTACAAACCACCTCCGGTAAAGCAACCACGACAACCGGCGTCACACTCACAAGCCGTTGACCGCCTCTGTCGTCTCAGGTGGAGGGAGGGCGTTGTTAAGTCCCGGACCCCCTTCCTGGCCTGGGGAAGGTGGCTCCACGCGCTGAAACAGTAATGGCGTTCGATTCTGTGTGAGATATACAACATGGCCGTCGCCAGCTATCAGGCAGACTGACAGGGAAATGGAGGGAGAAGGAGCAGAGCAGGAACAGAGGGCATGTAGAGAGGGGGCTGTCGGCTGAAGCAAGGCCAGGCAAAAGAGGTTATCGAGGAGGAATAAATGGAGAGCTGCCCAGCAGCGAAGAAAGAGGTGGGTGGACTAGGAGTGCATTCTGGGACCTGGCAACCCTTTGAGCAACCAGGTAGAGGACTTTAAGAAGTCCAATAAGGAAGCAGAATTCACCCACTCAGGCTAGATCTCAGGATAGGATCAAACTGAATCATCAGTAATCATTTAGTGTGTCATCTTATGATCAGTTGTCATAAGATGATTGATACTAAACATCTAAAAATACATTTCCCTTATAAAAAAAAAAGTTTTTTTTATATCAGGGAAAGTAGAATTGATACCGACATGAAGAGGAGTAATAGAAGAGGAGCCTCTTTCAAAATAGGGATGGAGAACATCATGACAGATCAACAAGGCAACAATCCTGTGAAGGGGAACATACAGCAGGTGAAATGCATGATGGGACATACATACGTTGTCATTCATGTATTTATCATTGACTAAAGAAGTTCCAAAGTGCTGCCTAATTACCAGCGCTCAAAATGTCAGATTGGTCCTGGAGCTGTTACACATGCAGGTTAAAAAAATCCTCAAATGTCACAATTAAAAATGTCCACATTTTGAGTTTGTGATTTTAAAATGTTTTTTTCTACCTTCATTTAAATCCACACTATGGCAAACCTTCCATCTATGATTGCAAACACTAAATACAATATGATTTACAGCAGGTAAAATAAACCTTTAATTAGTTATGTGATGTCTGCACTTATTCAATGTTTTGGACGAGGAAACACTGCAGAGGTTTAGCACGGTGTGTAGCTACAACATATGCTAGCTATGTGTTTGGGGAGAGAAGGGGTAAAGGAGCCCGGACAAAGGGGCCAAAGAGGGTTTGCTGATGTTTGAGAGATGACAAACGTATCCTTACACGTGCAATGAAATATCAGGTTGCTGAGGAGCATTACATTTCAGTTCTAATGAGACATCATCTTCTGATCCAAGATGAAATACAGCTACGGGTAGGATGCAGCAACATCATAATGCAAATCGAACAGTCAAAGGTTACAAGCATTGGGGATTGGGAGTGAGGAGGTACCATATCTTTTTCAAGCATCAAACCAGGAGAGAATCAGGCTCAGGATAGAGGAGCTTTAATAAAGGCTCCCATGGTGCTTCAGGCACAGGCACCTCGGGGGCTGTGACAACACTGGAGTCTGGTTAAACCAATTCATCGATTTTTCTTATAAAAAATGCGTGATAACTGCAAAACCCTGGCTTTTGCATTTGACATTTTGTGAGGAGTACACCTAAATAATGCACTAAATGTTGCCAAAGCTTAAAAGCAAGAAGTACCCCAACTTGCCCAGCAGATGGCAGCACTGTTTAGGCTGTTAGATAAAAAGCTATAGGTGATTTCATAAGATTGGTGACTGAATAAGGACTCCTCCCTGGATGGAGGTTGTCACAGCCCAGGCTTACATGAATGGGACTACAGCCCTGCAGCTTTGATTTCAGAACGTCAGTCTGCCTTTGACTTTAAAAGGGTCGGATGCAGGTGGAGTGCTTTTACTCGTTGAGACCGTAGTACCTGCTCATCACGAAGAGCCTGGGAGCGCTTGATCTTGCTCTGCCGGTAGTACTCCATGATCATCATGGCAGCATAGATTTTCCCAACTGTCAGGTCTGTGGCTGCTGAGAGAATGACAAGTTACCCTGCGAGATTAGACCTTTGGTATGGACCCTGATCGCAAGGAATGGCAGAAAGGGGGTGAGGCATGCACACAAAACAGAGTACATTTCACACACACAACATTGAGCGAATAGTCTTTTCACAGACAGATTTTTTTTTTTTTTAACTCTACTGTATAATATATACATAAAATTGTGTAATCAAGCACATTATTTTGATATAGGTCAAACAAATCCACTCGCTCCGGGTAGCTATAACCATGTGATCACGAGAATCAACATAACAAAATAAAGTAAATCAAAATAAAATTTGGTGATATTTACACTATAAATGACTCATTTGAACATGGTTGCAAATGTAATGCCAAATACACAATACATTTTGAGAGCAAATCTCATGCATGTCACAAACTAAAGCAACCGCTGTGTCATGCAACTAGTGCGTTAGCACATGTGCATTTGTGTAAGAAACACTGAAAAAGTATCAAGCACAGCCAGCCTGGCGCACACAGCTGACCGCCCCTGAAGTGAAAAGACGTCTATAGAGAGTTGATCTATAGTGAGGCACCCTCTGATCTCAGGCACAGAGAGGGGGAGAGTTGTGGGGGTCTGACAGGGATGGAGGGTCTGTCCTTGTTAGTGTGGTGTCTGTAGCTGAAGGAAAAGATAGGAAATGGCTGCAATCACACCAAATAAGGCGTTGCTCATGCGGCGGTTTGCAATCTAAATGACCCATTTGTGTGTAGTCAAGTTGTATCCCCCAAGCAACAGAAGGAGACTTTATATTTCATCGTACATTTTTTTCTCAGAGCAATTTTATAATCTTGCATAAACAGCACTTGAAGGCAACTTCATTCATTTCACAGCGTAACACGAGTCACAGGGATTTTGCCCTTCAAGAAACATAATATGCCGTTTCCCATACAATTTTAGATGATACGCAAAACTAGGGATAAGTGATACCTTTATTTTCTTTATTTAAGTTGTATTTGGCCGCTTATCCATGGCAATAAGAGACAGATGCGTTTACTGTACTCGCTCAGTGACAGGCTTTTTAATTTATTGGCCGTTTAAACTTTCCTATTGCTGTTTTTTTAGTTTTCTTAATAAAAAAAAATCCCTGATTGAGAGAATAGGAGGACTGGCGTTTTTTGTAGCACCGCGTTATTAGTTGTGAATGCAGCCTTGGTGTTGTGTGTGAACTAGTTCTGCGTCCAGCCTGTGCTTTGTACGTTAGTAAGTTAGTTAGATTGTTAGCTCCTGTTTGTTGTTATTCATGTTCACTTAACTATATGTCTTCCTAGATCTCAGGTTTTATGGGTGGGGATGTGTGGGGTTATGTGCCGGCTGTATCAGAGGGTGCAGCAGTGAGAGAGACTGACTGAGAGAAGCGGTCCTCAGGTGGCGTGAAGAGAATAATCGTTGGAGCACTGGGCGGCACAGGGTGGCTGCATCCATGCCACATTGCTGCGCCTGCACAACACTCTGCAACTTACACTTGTGCGGCGTAACCAGCAAATCTAGAGTCTTCTGCGAGAGGTTGGGCCAGATCGCCATCATCTCTTTCCTCAGCTCGGCGTCCATCTGGTGCTTGTCAACCCCACCTAGGCAGAGTTCAACAAACATGCAACACACATACAAACACGCACAAGTACACACAGTAGAAATTGGGACGGAAAAAAGTGTATGCATTCACACACAAACCATTCATACACAACCATATTGATACAAAAAGGTATAAGAGAGGACATACAAACGTAAAAAAAAAAACAATATTTGTATTAGTAAGGTCATGATAACCCCTATGCATTTCTTTTCCAATTTTGTAATGATTTAATCAGAGGTTATTCTATATTTTATGAAAAAACCTCGATTCCACCCTCATCATTTCACATAAGATATATATATACAGTATAAGCCGCCATCAAAATCACACTGTACTTAAGATACAGGAGGTGAAGCTTCAGGGAGGTTTCTGGGTTCGGTGCTGCACTTTGGGGGAAAATAAGATAAAAGGAGAAGAAATCATGTGGAAATTGAAGTAGAAGGAGGTAAGAGGGACTCCAAACCTTCTGCACCCTTGGCGATCTTGATGTCCAGTGCCGTGCGGATCAAGGCCATGAGAGTGGAGTTGAAGTGGACCGTGTTGTCATCGGCAACAGGCAGATCCATACGGAGCAGTCTCTGTGGGAGAGCCAATCAGGGCGAGTGGTGAGAAAATGGGGAAGTAAGCGGGTCGGCGTGTTTGTGGAACCTCCAGGTGTAAAGGGGGGAGGGGGAGGGGTCGTGGTAAAGGAGGGTTGAAGGAGCTTTGCATAGCATCTGTAGCAAGCTCTGACTCACTGTCCAATTAGGTCTATTTGATATTAAGTGCATCTGCGACATCAATTCACATTTAGGAAATTCACAGTATTCAATCTGTTCTGTCGTATGGACGAACCTGTGAGTGCTAAGATGATTAATAAAAGTTTTTTTTCAAGATTGGTTCCTTGACTCATGTATTTCGTAACTGGTCTTCTAAGTCTATTTGTTGACAATCACAAGTCCTCACAGGTTGGTTAAACAGGTGATGTTGAGCCTTCAATGAGGATACAGGACAGTCTGAGCAGCAGCTACTAACATCCAGAGCTCCTCCTGGGGGTTTGGAGGTTCACAGTGAAAACAACAGAGACCTAATGACAAACCAGTAAACCAAAAACAACCAAGGGGCCGATCTAAGAAGGAACACACTTTGTTTTTCGTTTATTGGTTTGATTTTGTATAGGTCTTGTTGGTTCATCATTTATAACACAGACACACAGCAAGTCACATATGACAGATTGACGTTCGGGTGTTTGGTGACAGAAGACGGCGACATCCCAACATGCAGCTTATCATGCCTGCCCCCACACCCAGATGTAATGCCTTTCCTTTAATCCATCCATCAAAACTTAGAAAAAAAACTCTATCCCCCAAAGCTTTCTTGCATATCCCACCCTCATGCGGCATGCGATGCATACACAATATGCCTCTCAGGACAAGCAGCTGCGCAGCCGTACACAGAAAGCATCCTCTGTTGGCGACATTAAAATGAGTTGTTTTAAAGTGGCTAGTTATTGTAGGGAATAAGAACATCTGTAGACGATGGGCTAACCTGAAATAATAGAGCATCTTGCTCTATTGCTAATTATCTGATGTCTAAAATGGGAAAAATGGGCACAGACTTGGAGGGTTAATAGGTGAGAGAGAGCAGCATTCTGTGCAAACAGAAAGAAGAAGAAACAAAAGAAATGGCCACCATGGAAGTGGTGTTTTGGTGCTAAAATGCAGGTGATCGTTCAGGTGAACATAGTCCAGGTATATGAGGTGAAAGGAAATATGGCTTCTGCCAGAAAATAGATTTGAAAAGAGTTGAAAGGGACAGCTTAAGGGAAAGAGATGATAGAGAAATAAAAATCAATAGGTTAATAGGTTAAGAGCTGGAGCGTGTAAAGAGGAAAATGTGACCAAAAGAGACAAGAGCCAAAACGATGTAAAGGAAAAAAGAAAGAAACATCACCACACTTAGATGGCTGTGTCTCTAAGAAAGCGGTCCTGCCTGAAGGCCCTGCGTATCTCTTCAGGACAGAGAAGACTGAAGGTTAAGAGCAGTGGAGCGGATGGGTCATTGTTCTGTGGACTGGGGGGAAGGTCAAAGGTAAGGTTTGGATTTCTCTCATTGGCTCAGGGAAAGTTGAACGGGAAATAAGGAATCAACACAAAGATGGCAATTAGGGTTGGATTTGTAGATCAGGGAAGCCAAAACCATGCATGTAGAGCATGTTAGGTTGTTGGGTGAGGGGAGTAGGGGGCTACTTTTAAGTTCAGGGAGGAGGCTTTTAGGGAGAATAGTTGGTCATATAAAAAAGAGGAGAAGAAGAAAGCATCTAATGTAAGGCTGGGGTAATCAAATAAAGACATGAGAAAGAGATAGAGATAGAGGTGCGAAAACCTGGAGCAAATAATATAATTTTGAGTGTAATCAAGTGGAGATGGATAATTATTTTTAGTACAATTACACACTGAATAATCGGGCAGATTAATGCCATTTAGATTGTATATACTATTTCACTGTTGTTGATTAAATTAAAATCATATATTTGTTTATTTATTTGTTTAGTTTAGTTACCTGTGGACATTTCTTTCGATCATAGATTTGTCCTATGTATTTGTATACATACATTCAAATATGCAATGTTCTGCCACTAGGGGGCTCTCATCTCAGCAATAATGACGGTGTAGCCCCTGATAACAATTTCTTCATGGTTCAGCAATAAGACTATTTTTTTTTAAATGTATCTGCTCCTCTCCAAAACAAAATGGGTAAAGCTAGAAAAAACACTAAACAATTTCTACTTGATCAAGTAAATGTCAAAAAATCGTAATTGGTAATAAATATTGGCCACCTTCTAAATATCGGCATTGGCCATTTAAATACTGGAAACCACCTCATGAAAATACTCATATCTAAGCCCCATTCATTTTAAATGTCATATTATGTCAGTACTATTTGCCCCAGGCCTGCAGGAGTAGAAGGGAGGTGGATAAAGCGATGGACGCGATGGAGTGATCTCCTGTGCCTACAGGCAGTTTGGCCGGCTGCCCCCCCCGAGGCTCACAGTGATCTGCCAATGATGCTTCATGAGACACATTGATCACAAGAGGTGTAACAGGAACATGTGGTACCATGAAGGCAAATATGTTGTTATATTTCTGTATATTTCTGTCAGATTAATTGTGTCAGAGCTGATTATATGACAGACGGGGGTTTGTGCATTGGGTTGGTGGTTATCGGCCATGCAGAAGGCAGGTGAGGGAGTGTATATGTGTGGGGAGGGGAGCAATATGCAGAGATGAGGGGGGCTGGAAACAGAATAGAACTGCATTGACGACAGAACCAAAGGACAAAGAGAAGATTGGACTTGCAGATAGAAAAAGAGCTGCTTGGGGGCTTGGAGCTGCTACATGAAGGGTGACAGAAAAAGAACTGCTTCTGTATGGCAACCAAAGGCTCTCTGAGGGAAACACATCACTGAGACAAGCCCTTCTGCTCTCTCTACCATTAGGAATAAGAGAAAATATCTGTGTGTGGGTGGATATGACTTCAATCTGTGTTTGTGTGCATGTGTGCGTGGTTGTCTGCCACATCCACAGGACGGAACGAGTCAGAGGACGTAAGTCTAGCGGACCTTCCAAGCCCTGCTGCACACGCATGTTTCTGTGTGTGTGTGTGTGTGTGTATTCATGTGTGAAAGGTCTAACTATTTCATATCTCAACTCTTAAAATAACTGCATTCATATGTTACTATCACTTTACCTGAAGAATAATGACACTATTTTAAAAAATGTGCATGATGTTCGTGTGAATGTGTCGTACACGGTGCAAACGAGCTGAGAAGGTCCCTCTTTTCGTCCCCTCCTGTGGATACACATCCCCNCCCCCCCCCCCACCCTAACCCCTAACCCCATCTTGCTACCTCCTCCCACCAATCCCACACCACCACACAACGCCACAACACCGACCAGCCCACCCCCACTTTCCACGAAAAGAAACAGAAACAGAACTGAAGAAAACAACGACACTAAAGGTTACACCACGTTGAGCGCTTGAATCCCTGGCACCCTCCCCTTTCTGGACCCCCCCCAAAATAACACCCATAGGAGACTGGGGGTGAAGATGGGGCCCTTTCTGACCTTGTAGGCCACCCGTGCTGGACACCTCTTCCCGAGGCCTAGTGGAGGACACATTTGCCTCAGCATGTCATACATTTCCCTGCAACTGATCCTGCCACTGCATCATCAGCCATCACCCCGTTAACAAGAGCACAAAGAAAAGGAGAGATGGAGATATTTAGAAAAGAGAGAAGAGGAGAGAAATAAGATGCAGCGAGAGATTGAAGCGCAGAGTCAGAGATAAAGAGAGAGAATTAGAGGAAGACCAAGAAAAATAAATAAACAACAGAAAGACAAGGTTATTGGGCTGATTTGGAGCGACTGTGGCTGTGAGGCTTCTGTGTGAGCTACTCCGAGGGGGTAAAGGACAGAGGGGAGGGAAACAACAGGAGGATTGGAATTTGAGAAGTAAATGTAGGTATCAGAAGACAACTCTGTGTAAGCAGGACAAAGGCATATATGTGTGTGTGTGTGTGTGTGTGTGTGTGTGTGTGTGTGTGTGTGTGTGTGTGTGTGTGTGTGTGTGTGTGTGCTGCTGCTCGGACCAGGAGAGAGGGGAGGAGGAGGAGGAAGGGGTGTCAATGCAGTTTCTGTCTTTCCCCAAACCCCCAAAAAACCAAGAACAATGCAACACTACAGTGAGCAACCGTAGCTTGCTACATTATAGCCATGGCTCCAAGCAAAAAGAAAATAATAATCAAAAAAGAATATATACAAAAGAAAGATTTGTTTTCAAAATGTGCTAAAAAGGTGGATTTGTTTTTTGGTGCATTCCACATGCGTCTCTGGGTGTCTGCATTGTCCCGCACATTCTCTCAGCAATTCAGAATGCAAGTCGATAATGGTGGAAAATAAGTTTTAAATTGAAATGATAATACAAAATAAAGCGGCATTCACTCCATTCCTGGATGCTGTGGCTAGCAAGTGTGGTTGAGAGATTTTGTTTTAATAGAAGTCAAACCTTGCAGGCCACCCTATGGGGGCATTTCTTTCCTAAGCCGAGAGGCGGGTCGATAACTCGCAATAAACTGTACATGTCCTTATAATGAATGCGCCCGCTGCAAGAAGAATACAGGGGAGTTAAGAAACACACGCACAGGAAAGAAAACACACAGACAGCGAGAAAGAAGACAGAACATTGGGAGGAAGAGCACAAGAGTGACAAGAACACAGTATCTGGAAATACTTTACAACACGTTGACTGTAAATAACTGACTGCATGCTACAGTTACCAACTCTACACACTATCCGTTTTCCACTTTATGCCACCATTTGTTAAATGGGCTTTTTAGCCTCGATGTTTTCCAACTGACAAATAATCAAATCAAATCAGGTTTTATGTGTATAGCACATTTTAAAAACGATGTAGTCCTAAGTCCTAAACATGGCTGCTGCTCTCTTCCATTTTTCCACATGCACATTTTGTACACTAACATGTTTTTGTTGTTTGTTTTTGTACTTTGTTTTCTATCTGGCACTTGTGACTTAATAACAGTTCATCATGGTTTCTTTCAGCGACTTCATTTGATGCTGTCTGATAGGGTTAAACAAAGTAATCTGATTATTTAATTGCAGATCGGCTGGCAATGAATAGCTTTAAAGCAAGTTGATTCAGGATATTTAACTTTTTCAATAATATACTTTTCAAATCTTTGGGATTTGGGGAAGTTATGAAGAATTTAAAAAGGCACACGTTGTTGATGTTAAAGAACAGTTTGAGTGTTCTTGAATTTGTCTAAAGTCATCACATTTGTAACTCCAGCCTGACATGAGTACATGATATGACTCAAGGTCATTTTTCCATCTTCCTCCTTTATTCTGTTTCTCTCTCTCTTACTCCTCGTCCTCAGTTCGACAGCCCTTGCTTTAGTCCCTCCAGTCAAACCCCTGTCTAGATGTGTGCACAATGTAATTAAAGATTTGCAAACAGAGTAGAAAAGCATGTCCTTGGTTACCAGCTAAACGCTTAATAGCTGCTTGTGGTGTGTAGATCTCCTCCCTCTTAATATTATGTGTTTAATGTTAAGTATCTTAGCTCCCTGTCTTCTGATTCCTGTGCAGCGTGTCAGATGTAGTACGTTTGGGTTGAAAATAGCATGAATAGAACACAACATTTTATACATTCCTACTAACACATCTCTTTTCAGACTTTGTAGAGCTGTCTATGTGCAGGCTACAGGTCGGGGAAACACACAGGCACTGGAATACAGATACCATGAAACGTAGCATGTCTACAGGAGACATTTAGACCACAGAGTTGGACAGCTGTGTGTAGACATTGCCACATTGTTTTTTTAAACCGTATGCAGATTCCAGGAGTGGTAAATATATTTGGTACGGGGTGGGAGATATTTCAGGGAATATTTACAGAAAAGAAGAAGAGGAGGAGGAGGAGGAGGAGGAGGAGGGAGGGGTTGTACAGCGTGAGAGAGATAACCAGATGCCTGATGAGGTTATGCTCAGATCCGTTACAGCCCACTTGCAGCTCTTTCACTAGAACATTCCTATTAGTTCATACTAGTGGTTTATTCTTTTTTTTGTCTATTCCAGATAATTTCAAACACCTTGTGCTTCAGTTTAACACAATTTAAAACAAAACACATCTAAACCACTGTTGAAAAGTTGTTGCTGATTTTACTGTGTTAACGAGTATATTAAAGCAAACATAAAATAATGTCTGGTCATACAGTAAGTACTGTGCTGTTTTATGTCGACAACTGTTGCAAGCACAACCAGAAATATGATACGTTTATGAAAAAAGCGTTTTTTCTTACTTTTTAAATAATGTTAGAATTAAATGAGTGTAATTACAGTGTCGTGGACTGCCACAGTTCTGTTGTGTGTGCATATGTGTGTGTGTATGTGCACCATGAGTGCATGCACGTTCCCACTCACCAGGCAGCAGGGTCATACTCGGCCCATATCCTGACATACTCATCCAGGTGGTGAGGTCCCAGAATGGAGGAATCTCGCGTCAGGTACTCAAAGTTGTCCATGATGACGGCGACAAACAGATTCAGCATCTACACATGAACACACCAGCAGAACGTTCAACATCGCATCTGACGGCTGATAATAATGAATGTTTAAAAAGGAAAATGTTGTATATGAAACGCTTAATGTCAACGAATATGGATTAAAGAAGAATATTTCATTGAAATATGTTGTGAGATCTGTAAATAATTACATTTATTTTCTTTTAATAAATGTTGACTTTCGGACTCTGGACATTTAAAACGTTTGGATCACACACACGTCGGTTACAATCACACAGCCACCGATGAAATTGAATTGTATAAATAAATACTAATAATATAAGTGTAGCCTACGCTTTCTACTACTGTGCATAAATACTGGATTCAAACACAAAAAAAGATTTGTGTACATTAGTATTTGAATGTCAACATAAAGCCCTAGATGTTAATGTATTTATCTTTATATAACATCTGATCTATGGGCTTAGAGTCTGTAATTGAGTTATTTGATGCCTTTAAAATGGCACTACTGGATCATAACAAAAGGGACAGATGAGTGTGTTGGTTTATGTAGTATGTACTCACCAAGAATGAACAGAAGAAGATGAAAGAGACAAAGTAGAGGTAAGCAAACTGGCTGCCACACTCTGGCTCTGGATTTCCTGTCAGGGGGTCGCACTCCTTGCTCCCCAGACACGACAGCATGATCTCATGCCACGCCTCCCCCGTCGCACTCCTAAAAGACGCAAAAAAAGGTTCTGTGATTTATGCAACATTACAGTGAAGTAAAAAGTCACCCAGGTTTCAGATATTTTTACAAAAACACTCTTTAATTTCTTTATGAGATGCTAAAAACTAAACACTGTGTGTATGCACAGATTCACTAAACACACGCACCTGAAGAGCAGCATGAGAGCCATTACGAAGGTCTGGAAGTTGTTGTGCGGGTTGATGGCACTCTCTCCTTCTTCATCAATAGCGATATTCCCAAACAGCTGTTGAACACATTCATACTGTCAACACTGAAAACCAGACTTCTCATTAGTGACCTCTCTGGCTTTGTTTGCGACTAAAGCCCCTGTCACACTGTCCCGAAATTGACACCCGATATTAAGTTTTCTCCGTAATGTTGTTTCCATAGCAACAACAACTTCCTGTCAACTCGTGTCACGAAGTTGCTGCCGGAGCCTGAGAAACTCCACCGGCGGTCATACGATGGCTTAAGATGCCCTCACGAATGGCCCGATGTTGTTACGATCAGAGCCGAATTTGAACATTTCCTTAATCGTGTGTCCATCGGGTGTCAATTTCGGGACAGTGTGACAGGGGCTTAAAGCAGGTCCTAATACGCCAACACGCTAAAACACGCCGCTTCTATAATCCTGATCCTCCTCCTCTCGTTATGCACCGGATCCTTATCATCATTCTCCTTGGGTGCATCCTCTTCATAATCATTATTAACTTTCAAATATATATTGAATGCATCCGCAAAGCAGTACAGATGCTTTTTAGGTTGAGGCTCTCACCCACCTGCATGCCAATGATGGCGTAAATGAAGAACAGCATGGCGATGAGGAGGCAGACATAAGGCAGCGCCTGGGGGGGAGACACATTATCCGTTAGCTATATGCTTCAAACATAATAGTGCCGTGTGCAAAATATACAAGATTGCACCTAGGCACTGTTCAAGTATATAAACAAAAGGTTGTATAGGTGTATTTCTGTCAAATGCATGTTTGTTGAGCTGTGTAATTGGGTGTAAACCTTGAAGGACTGAACGAAGGTCCAGAGCAGGATGCGAATGGTTTCTCCCTGCCTCAGCAGCTTGATGAGACGAGCTGCCCTGAACAGCCTCAGGAAACTCAGGTTGATGAAATTATTCTACAGTACAGCCACAACATAAGCCGAGAGAAAGAGAGAAGGAAAGAGAAAGAGGTATAGAGAAAGGAGGTGTGGAAAGAATTAGGATTGAAAGTAAAGAAGAGAAACGTTGAAGAGGAGGGAAGAAGAGAATAGGAAGGATTCGGGGTTGGAATAAAGGGAAAGAGGAGTTAGTTTTGGTTCAAAGTGCGCAAACAATTTTCCTTATACAACCAAATCATAACAAATGAGAGGAAAAACAGTCAAATCCAAACTGAGGGAGATTCAAACAAATAAAGGAATCAGGAGCCAAACAAGTCAAAGCAAACCAAACTCAAATCAGCAAGGCTCCAACAAGCTTTTTCATATCCATTGAGTTAGACAAAACCAAACCAAACAACACAAGGGGAAAGGACATCATCCAAATCTAACTAGTGTCATCCAATTGGGTTACGTAGTAGTAGTTGTGGCAGGAATGGTGAGTGGTTAAAAGTGCAGGGACATCAGGACGTTTCCTTGGAAAGACAACCAAATGCACTAGTTCTCTCAAGGCAAAATGTGCAATATTTCTAAAATGAAGCAAGCCCAGAACATGCAGGTGTGCACTAACACAAGGCAAACCGGTAAAGCTAAAGGCAGCCGAAAAATCATCCAATAGGAATGGCTGCCGAAGTCATGTGACAAACCAGTGGTGATGTCACGGACAAATAAGAGCGAAAGGGTGGTTGAAGGACCAAATCAGGTCAATATATATTCAGTCTCACCAGCATGAGTATGTGCCTTACAAATTGTGATTCTTTAAACTTAATTTAAACAAAAAATATTACCATTAATTTAAATGAAGTGTGTAATACAGAGTTCTTCAACCATGTATCAGAGTAGAGAACAAAATATGTGCAATAGAGGTGAGTTAAAGTGAGACTTGAAGTGCTAAAAAGGGGGTGGCAGCAGGCACATGCATGTATTATGATTATATTGCTTGTGTGTGCGTGTGCGTGTGCGTGTGTGTGTGTGTGTGTGTGTGTGTGTGTGTGTTAATAAAGGATTGTTGCCAGAGACATGCGAGGGGGCAGCATGCATCACTTGTTCTCTCTGCTCAGGGCAACGCTTCGGATTCACTCTGTCGTTACTGGAAACACTCTCCCAGTCACTGTCATATGTGTGTGTGAGTGTGTGTGTGTGTGTCTGTGTGTAAGCATACAATAGATAGCTAATCCCGATGCATATATGTAGCAATCTGTTCTATTTTTTGTACAATGCTTGCTTTGAAAAAATGAACAGTAGATCTAAGCTAGGATTACAATACAAGATATGAACCATACAGCGACTGGTAGAGAGGTTAGAAAACTTGGCAACAAATAAAAACCCTACACATGTTGAGCTCACTCAGAGTTAAAGGTTCTTTGTGGTGGGGTTCGAGCAAATCATGCACAAAGCTATCACATTGGCTGGGATGCAGTTGTAACAGATGCAGTAAAATAAGATCTCCAAAAAATTACAAACCATCTACATGTAGATGTTGCAGACATATGGTTTATAGCAGCACATTTTTTGATTTTTGGTTGGTTCGAAGAACAACCAGAGAGATTGACCAAGCCGGTTGTCATGGGTGGACACAGAGGATTCATAGTGCATTTTGATTGGATGGAATCGCAGGAAGTAGTAGGTGTTGGGGGGAGAAGGGGGGCGGGGCGAGGTAGATTACAGTAGATCGTCGTTAAGTTTGCGGACGATATAAAGAAAGCATGTAAAAAGATAAAAACAAGAAAGAAATCGACAGTCATTACAGAGACAAGTTAACACAGAAGCAGGTTTTCGCTCTGCAGATTTTACACATTCATATTGCAGGGATACCAAGGATCGAGGCAGCAGGGGATTGTTGGACACAGGTACAGATTCTAAATAGATAAACATGACTGTAAACCAGTATAAAAACCAACCAGTTAGAGCATGTTTACTAGAATCTGGCTGAACCATCAATTTAGGTCTTAAGAGCGCTTGAATCATTGGTATCCCTTTCTTCTTTAGACAGAACTGGTAGGTAACGTTTCCAGATCAAAGAGCTTGTTAATGTCGGTGCAGCTCTTGTAAAATATGTGTGTTCAGACAGAACAAAAAGCAAATGTCTTATTTGTAATTTCTTATCGTGTACTATTCTTGCGGGTTATTTGTTCCAAACAGACAATATACCAATAGTTCAGACATTAGCTATAAGCTAGCAAACATGTCCGTTTCACATTTTTGGACATTTAGGATTTTTTTAAAAGCCCAAGAAGTGTGAATCTTTTTGCTTTGGTCAAAAATATTTTTAACACCCACTTGCTTGAATGGAAGTGAATGGGAAAGGAGCAGTTATTCGTAGGAGGCAGTGTATAGTGGGACTATTTGAACTCACATTGAGTTTGTAAGCAATCACACAACATCTAAATACATCACCTCATGTTTTGTCTGAACACACCTTAAGAATATATTTTGAAAAGGACACTCTTCCTAAAATATGCCCTTTCACATACAGATTAGTACACACAGTACGAGTGGCATGGCCTTGTGCTACCTTGTTTGTGTTTCCATGTGACCTATATATAGCTTTCAGGTGATAAAAGCAAACTCAGGCGGCCAACAACTGTGATAGTTAATTAAAACTCTTAATACACTAGCGCTGATGATGGGTGTCACTATATAACATAATAATGAAACTCATCACCCAAGATAATATGTAAATATCACAGTCAAAGTAATTTAGTGTGCTGTGTAGCAATAATATAACTAACACTAATGTTTTTAATCAGACCAATCCTTTTTTAATTGTTTGTGGACAGTCAGAAGTCCCTTAGACCTTCAACACTTCAGGTGTACTATATGACTAACATATGGCTGGCCAGCTTAAGATGCAATCTGATCATTTGATTGGCTGTTACGGTTGCCTGCAGAAGCTGTGCACTGCCTCGCTACAGAGCATCAGCAAGCTTTCCGCCCCGCTGTCAGCTCTGTCTGCAGTCTGGTCTCTCCTCGTCCCACCAACTGGGACATTTATATAAGACTTTCAGGAGTCGTTCATGCATGACTGAGCAACGCAAGGCTCAACAGTGGCCTCTAACTCCTGCTCTACTTCTCTTGTCTACTGTATGCGTTTTAGATACAGCTGTATAAGCCCTGAGACACACGCTGAAGCTCACCTAACAAACAGTCAAAAGAGATCGACAAAGATTGCTAAAAGATATCAATTCTGGCTGTTTGCAGTTTTGAATCAGATCGTTCAAACGTACACATTTAAATCAGAATACGCCCTTCGATCCTGCGACTTACCCCAAGCTCCGTAACCAGGATGTCGGTAACGCTGCCCAGGACTGTGACACAGTCAAAAATATTCCAGGCATCTTTGAAATAATTCTGTGAATAGGAAAAGAGTAAGAGGGATGATGAGGTAGAAATAGGGAGGAAGATAAGGGACATGGATGTAGCAGGGGCAGAGAGATCAAATATTGACAAAGAAATGGGCAATGCAAGGAGATGTAGAGTAGACAAAATCATATTGAAATGAAAGGGAAAATGATACAATGGGATTCATTTATTACATTAACATGACGCAGACAGAGCATGAGATGCGAGACATGGAGCGAATACAAGTCGGACAGAAAGAGAAGAAGGAGAACAAAAAGGCATGTTAGTGTCAGACAGGAACAGGAAATAAATCAGATAAGACAGATGGACCATCAGTGACGGCATGTTGGGCGGATGCCAGCAGACAAGAACAACTTGTACTGCATCAGCCTCATTACACCTACAGGAATATACAGGTACATCATACAGCAAATACAGTCACATCATTCCCTACAGCTCCTAAAACTCCTGTGTATATTTAACTCAATCTGTACCATTATCTACAGATATACATCATTTTACATTTTTTTTACTTTTAACGTAATGCGACTTCAGGTAAAAAGAAGGATAGAGAGGAATAAATGCTGACGAGGGAGATCTGCTTCTTCTTCTCTCTCCTCCATAGCGCCTTCAGCCTAACTGTACATTAGACAAGTGGAGGGACACAGAGAGAGCACCTTGACCAACACACTCACACACACACACACACACACACACACACACACACACACACACACACACACACACACACACACACACACACACACCACCAGGGACAGAAAAAAGAGGATTAAGACACACACTTTATGAGTCAGCAGTATTCATTAAAAAGTATGTGTCAAAGAGCAACATCATGTCTGTTTATTTGAAAAAAAAAGCATCACAACGGTACAACGAAAGAGAGATGAACCTCAGAAACTAGTACCTTATTTGGTTAGTGTGTCAATGCTAATGTGTGCGTTGTGAATTTGCATTTTACCTTCATCATTAGCACGACGGTGTTGAGCGCGATCATTGCCATTATAGTGTATTCAAATGGCGGCGACACCACAAACTCCCACATTCTGTATTGGAAGCTCAGCTTGTTCTTAGGCATGTGGCGTGTCAGAGGTCTGGCGTTGATGGCAAAATCTATACAGGCTCTCTGCATGGAAACAAACATCAAAAGTGGTTATGTTCTTATCCCGCTCAAATGTTCTCCAGTCCTTCGCGTCACTCTGAAAATATTCCTTTCCTCACCTCATTTTTTTCTAAACTATAGTCCTCCATCATCTTATCTCCTTGCTCTTGGAAAGTGATGATGATTAGAGCCACGAATATGTTGACGAAGAAGAAGGGGAAGACCACGAAGTACACCACGTAAAAGATAGACATTTCCATCCGGTACCCCGGGCTCGGGCCCCGGTTCTCATAAGTCGCATCCACTGAATGTTTCAGCACCCTGCGGAGGAAGAGAGGGGAACAGTTTAGGGTTATAGGCTGTCGGGAAAATGTTTGAGCTGCATGTGACTGTGTGTTTAATTTTACTCACTGCGGCCACCCCTCTCCGGTAGACACGGTGAAGAGGGTGAGTAGGGCCCAAGCCACGTTGTCGTAGTGGAAATCGTACTTCTTCCACTCCCGCTTCTGCGCCTTCACTTCGTTAACGCCTTCATACACCAGATATTCGCCCCTGAGATAGGATTTGAAGATGCAGCGTAAGGAGAAGAAACACTTAAGCATGAAGTGGCCTCAACTCAATAGAAAGAAGGAGACCAGAACGTTTTCACCACTCAGGGTATAGTTGGGTTTCTCCTGACCTGCAATCGCGCTCAAACTCTTTGGATTCGTCAGTGCAGTAAAAGAAGCGTCCCTTGAACAGCTGCACGGCCACCACAGCAAAGATGAACATGAAGAGTAAGTAGACAATCAGGATGTTGAGCACATTCTTCAGAGAGTTCACCACACAGTCAAAGACAGCCTGGGGACAGAGAAAAAAAGAGAACGACAGACGGAGACATGTTGTTTATTGCCTGAAGGTAATGCATTGGATTCATAATATTTCAATGTTTTGGACTTGTGAATGATGGCATTGAAAGGGAGACAAAACCACATGTAAGAAAACGATCATTAGTAACCCTAACCCTAAAAAAAAGAAAGAAAGATTTAAGAAAACACTTTGACAAAGACTTAACCGGGAAGAACACAATGACATAATAGTGACTGTGAAATTTGCAGAGCACAAATGCAAGAAAGAACGCACAAAGAAATCACATTTGAATTGCTTAAACTAAAAAGAAAATGTGTTCAGTCCACTGATAAAGCAGGTAGTGCTGGCAATAAGGCAACAAAACGAAAAAGATCAAAACTTGAAAACCCACACAAGATTGATGCCAAGCCTTTATTTTAATAAGATGTCGCCCATAACTCCAATCCAGTAAGGGAAACTAAGGTCCATTGTTTTCTACGTAAACATACCTTGAGTTTGGGAAGACGTTTGATGGTCTTCAGAGGTCGTAACACTCTCAGCACCCTCAGAGACTTGATGGTGCTGATGTCTTTTCCCTTACTGCTTCCCCTATATGCGTAAACACATGCACACCAACACCCAAACAGATCCGTACACACACACACAGCCACACACACAAATAAAAAGAGTCAGCATGCTCAGGTAGATATGAAAGGCTTTATTCTCTCGCATCCAAAATGGCAGCGGGCAGCCATTCCTTGACGGTATTTGTGTCCGAGTTAACTCACAATGAGTAACTGCGTCTGGGTTAAATACATAGCAACACATGCAGCATTGCTATCATATTACGTTTATAGTCCTTAGTGTGAGGTTAGCATTGTTGCTACATGCTAGAGTTAGGTGGTATTTTACGGCTACAGTACATGCCACAGGAACAACTGGTGTCATTCCTGTCTGAATGCTATCTAATATATACGCTTGTTTTAATACTTTGCAATGTGTTTCAATGCTTTACAAAGACGGCTAAAGCCTCGCCTTGCACATGCCCAGCTAGAGGTGGAATATATTCATGCTGCATTGAAACCTTGCTTTCCATGATGCAATATTTCTCCTTTTAAACAGCACGTTGAGTATTGGAGAACTATATTCTACACAAGAGACATTTACAGAGAGAGTTTGAGGGGAAGGCTATGGCTCAGTGGGATAGTGCGCTGATATTTGAATCAGAGGATAGCAAGTTCGAGTCCCACTACAGTCAGCATGTCGTTGTGTCCCTAAGACACTTCACCCCAAATTGCTCCTGTGGGGATTGTCCACAGTACTGAATGTATGTAAGTTGTCTGACAAATTCTTTCTGTAGTTATATTAGAAAGTTTAAACATAATTTACAATATGGTAGTGTGTATAAAAGGGGTAGTAACGTAAAACAATGGCCAAACTCTCTCTTTCGATGACTCAACCAGTTTATTTCTTTCAACCCGTAAGTACAACTAGGATAAGCAGGTTTCACAGCATTGTTCAAACAGCATGGAATCTTGTCTTGTGGGCCATTTCGGCAAAGACAGAGATATTTTAGCAAGCATTTCTCGATTGAAATGCTGAGCCAAACCTCGTTCATTCAAGCACCTTGTCATTAAAGCTACTTCAGTACATGTATGAGGAAACAAGGAAAAACCCATAGTTTCAGCTGCACGGAACTAAAACCTCAGAAGAATTATAAGTGAGCCTTCTAGTTTAGCAAACAGGAAAGTATTTTTACTGAAATAAGTGGCTAACTAGCTATGATAACTTAATGATAGTTTGCCTGTTCTGCTTACTTTCTCCTATATCTGGTCAAGAGATCATGGTGCAGAGATTAAGGTCGAAAGTCAGACATTGTTCCTTAGGCGAGAAAGCAGCTGTTAAACCAGATGGTAGACTGATGGAGGTTGTGTGCAAGTAGACTTTCTGTGTGCAAATGAGCACGCATGTTTGTGCATGTGCTGTAACTGCTTGTGTATTCATGTGAACCTTCCTTCTAGCAATTTTTTTTAAGAAATCTGAACAGTTTCCATTTGATTTCATTGTACTAATGATATTTTGCAAATGGTATCTGTGTGATTCAGTTGCGGACTTGATACAGGTTAACTTGAGGTTTAGTTGTGTTTGAGTCAGAGCTGTTCCATGGTGAACAATGGAAAACAGGAAAGAACAGACAAGTACAGTCAACTGTGATGGAAGAAAAGAGATGTGTGATCAGAAGAACAGGCGCTGACAGTGCAGAAGGAGAAAATGAAGAGGAAAAAGACAGAACTTTACCCGCCGCCACTGCTGCTGGTCCAAACGGAGAGATGAGGGGTGAGAGACAGTGAGTCAAAGAGAAAGACAAAAAAGACAAAGGGTGGGAGAAAGAAACAGAATGGGACACAGAAAGGAGGGAAAAACATCCATATGACAGAAAAAGAGAGACAAGAAAAGAGAATACAAGGCCTGCTTTTTATTATATCAACCCTCCCAGCTACAGACTACTGTGGCTAACTAACACATGCACATTAATACACTGTGACATTTAAGAAAACGTGTGTATGGACACACAGCACCAAACTATTGCCTTAAATTAATCTAGATGGGATTACAAACCAGATTATTTGTCTTTTGAATTATTACTTTAAAAAAAAAAGCACTTTTGTTATAATTAATAATTGTATTATTATTATTATTATTATTATTATCACTATTGTTAAAATTATAATTTGTTGTATTCACCA